CATTTTTCTACAAATGTTGAAAAGATTAACATCCACGTTGTTATCCAAATTTTTAAAAAATTTCTCAAAATTTCGGTTAGATCCAAAAGTTGAGTTGAAGCTTGAGTGAGTGATAGAACTTCAATTGTCTTCTCTCCTAACTAGTGTTTGGTTTGCTAATTTCTCACTTTGTATTCTTTAATTCATGCATTTACTTGTTTAGTTTCATTTGATTGCCTTTAATTTCAAGCATTTCAATTATATTAGTTTAGTTTTGTCACAACTCCTTTATTTTTGCATATCTTGACATGCGATTGTGAATCTACTTCAATAAGTTGAGTTCTTTATTGTTTCATGCAATTTCTTTGTTGATTTAGATTGCAAACTTGTAGATCTAGATTTGTTAGTTTAGTTTAAGCTCATCCCATCTAGAGACTTGTAGATATAAGTTTTTCTTCAAGAATTGGTAGTTTCTAGATTTGAATTTCGTTTTTGGGTTTGCTTGTTCATGCTTTATTTTGCATTTTTGCTTCTTTTATTGTTCTTCAAATCTATTTTGATCTTAGTTTAGTAATTGCTTTTGTAGTTTACAAGTTGTTTGGATAATTTCTTAAGAAGTTTCTATATGTTTCTTTTGTTAGAAATTGAAAGGTAGTTAAAGTAGTTTTTTTAGTTGTTAGTTATCTTGGTTTATGCCTTTAAGCTATTATTTTGAGTGTGACTTGATTTTGTTATTTTTATCCTTAGATTAATTTTACATTTTAAATCATATTGAGTTCAATTCAATTCGTTTTAGCCACTATTTTAGTTGATTTTTCTATCTTGCTAATCTTACATATTGCAAATTTACTTTTTACTAGAATTATGCATTGTTCATTGTTTTGCTCTCTTGTTCTAGTTAGTTTAGCATTGTATACTAATTGTACTAAAATTTTAGTTTTTTCAAACTTATTTTTAGTGTAATTTAATTCGTATTTTGGCTTAGTTCTTAGGATTTTTGGAAAAATTGCTCCTAAATACACATTTATCTCATGTGTAGGTGCATATTATGTAAATGAGGAATTTTGGTCAATTTTGATACAAATTTGGAGAATTTTTGGTGCAAATTGTGCAAATGGCTTAAACTAGTGTCAATAGGTCACATTAGCATTAAGAGAGTTTTTCTTGATTTTGCTTGATTATTTTTTAATATTATTTTCATAGGTTTTTTAGTGAATTGTATGAAAATTTTTCATGAAATGTTGTAATTTTTTTGCAGCAAAAAGAAAAGAAATATATATATGAGAAGCATGCAAGAAGAACATTGGTGTATGGTGCATGGGAGGAGCACTAAAATTGCAATGCACAAACCATTTAAGAGCACCAATTAGATGAACTAATGTGGCACTTTCAAGAGTTTTCATTGTCCCTAATTTGCCTCTTTAGATCAACATTGACAAGTGAAAGAAGAATGAAATCTATTGAAGACATGAACCAATGTCAACCAGACCGAGTGCAGCAACTCAACTATGCACACCTGTAGAAAAAAGGGTCCAAAAGCACTAGTGGTTGGGAGATTTTTCTAGAATTTTTTTTATACTTGAAACATCTCCCTTTTGACTATAAATAAGGGGATAGGACTAGACATTTAGGGAAAGGTAGATTAAGATTTAAAATTTTTCTTTTTTACTTTTCTTGCACTTTATTTTCTACAATTTCATTTTTATAGTAGCTAAATATATATTCAACATCTTTCCTTTCAATTTATTTGCAATCTTACTGTTTCTTAACTATTTTTTTAAGTGTTCTTTCAAAATCTTCCAATAAAATTTGCATTTGAATTCATTTTGTAACTCAAATCTACCAATTTCTTGTTGATATTCAAATTTATTTTTGAATCTATTAATTCTAACCTATCTGCAAATTTTTTATGATATCTCCTTCAAATATTTCTTGCTTTTCTTCAATTTTCTTTCATAATTTCCTAATTCAATTAGTTACAGCATAGTAAAAATTCAGCCTCAAACTTGCACCACAACATTTTAGATTAAGCTTGAAAGATTAGTTTAGATGCAGGTGATAGATGCAGGTTAGATAGACCAATCAATTTTGGCATGGAATTGCTCTCTCCTTGGTGAGTTGTTTGTCTTCTTTTTATTCTAAATTCTTATTTTTACTTGTTTACTTGTTGATTCTTACATGATCCAATTTATTTCTTTACATATGATGGCTGTTTGGATCACATTTGTAGTGTATATTCAATTTTTTGCTTTTTTGCACACTATTTGGATTCTTAGCTAGTTGAGCTATTTTTCTTTATTTTACTGAGAATTTTTTTGTTGAAATCTATATAAACTTATTGTTTAATCTTGCTGTAATTCAATCTAAGCTTATGTTTAGTAGAAAATTCTAGATCTATATTTTTCTCTTGTGATTCATTCAAAATTATGCTTTGGCACAATTTCTGTTTGGATGACTTTGATTACTTCATGCAATTTCTCTTCAATTTTTATATTCTCTTTAGATTCTCATCTTGTTCTTAAACTATTCTTCCAATTTGCGACTCATGGTCAACTTATTTTGCACATTTTAGATCCATATCATAAGTTGACATTTAGTGTTCATGATTTCCAAGCAATTTTGGTCTTGCTATTTTTCATCAAAACTTGCACTTTCTTCTTAGCTTTAATCTTCAATTCAGGTTTTCTTGTAGTTTTCATGCTTTTCAATGTTTATATTATATTCATCTAATTTTTACATGAATTAGATTTAGAATTTCTCTCAAGAGCCAGTTTTTCCAACTTTGAAAATGATCTATAATTTTTGTTTCTTCTTTATAATTTGTAGTTGCTTTTTTTCTAATTCTCATTTGAAATTTGATGTTAGCTAGTTCATTAATCATTTTTGTCTTTCATAGTTGACTTTTATATAATTGAAGTTTATTAAAGTTAGAATTACATTTTAGCTTATCATGCAATTTTGTTCATAGTTACCTTTTTACTCTTAGGTTTTTTATTTTGCTTTAAATTACATTCTTAACTTTTAATTCTCACTTCAATTCCATTTTATTATTAGTTAGGCTACTGTTCTCTTTAAGTTTCAAAGTGTTTTCATTAATTTCTTAGATTTAGTTACTTTACTTTGTTTACATAATGCATGGCATTATTTGATTTTATTCTTTAAAATTAGCTTAATTTTCATGTTGATTCTTTGATTGAACCAACTTTAGAAGGGTATGGGGATAATAAGTATTTAGGCTAGAAATTTCTTTATCTAATCCTTGTGGGATCGACATCTAAGCTTTTTAACCTATATTATTACTTGAACAACCTATATGTTTGTAGAGTTTGTCCAAACATATACACCTTTCAATTGAGCCAACTTTAAAGAGAGCGTGGGATAATAGGTAGTTAGATTAAGAATTCTTTAGCTAATCCTAATAGGAATGATATCTAGACCTTAGTCTCTATTATTACTTAACGAACTATGTGTTTACATAAATCATGATAGTAGGTGACGTTACATGAAGTATTTAATTAGAGATAACAGCAATAATAAACAAAAACATGCAAGCAAAAAAAATTTTTTTGGTGGTTATATCATTATTTGCAAACTTGGTTTCGATTTTTGTTGTAGCAGTCTTAAATCTTTTGGTGAAAGATTTGTCCAAAAAATAGTTATCTTGATGTTTACTTGCTTGTTGCAGATGTGTGTGCTGGTTGTCAAGTTTCAGTTACAGAGAGACCAACATTTGGTTGATTCAGTTTTCTACGGAGTTGTGGAGTTATTGGTGCTGCAACTACAATTGGGGAGCTAGCTATAATGTTGGATGATTCATTACTCTGACGTAGCAAGTTATTAATGTCTTGAAAGGCAACTTTTATTAGGACTACGAGAGTTTTCATAAATGTTGTGGCTCAAGTGGCTTTAGTTACATCTCCAGATGATTAAACGCATTGCTGTAATAGCTCATCAACTTTTTATGGATCAACTTTTGTTGGATTTTTTAGAATTTGGTTGGTTTTAAAAGATTTAGCTTCTAGTTTTCTTTTTTGTCCTCATCTTTGAATCATCACAATCGAATAACTTGTATGCAATTATGCCTATCTTTATTGCTCTTAAAGTTATGATGAAATCAAAATATTTTTATTTCATTTTTCAATGATTTAACTAGCCTAGAAGTACCATTTTGTTCATCTAGCTAAGCTACAACAATTGTGTGAATAGGACACTAGTCAATTTTTTAATGGATTTACCAAACACTATCAATCACATTTATACAATGTCATCTTCGATGAGAAGCTGTACTTTGGCTCTTCAAGGGTTGGGGAAGAACTTGTTAATTAGAGTGTAATCAAGGGAAAAAACATAAAGAAAATGACAACTTACATTTTATGTTATTAGAAATTCATAGCAACAAAAGAGTTTTTTCACCTACTTTGAGCACCAAAATTTGTTTACGCAAAAGTGGAAAGTATTAACACATTCATTACATGCATTGTTAAACCATCCATTTATCATATCAATATCAAGAATTTTAGCTTTGTCATTGAAAATGGTGTTTTGCCAAAAGAATAAGTTTATGTAGTAATTGGCATTATTAAATGTTTATTAAATATGATACATTGAACAAAAAAACACTTGGAAAACCTATGCAGTTGTTGGATTAATAGCAATTAAATTGAAATAGTTGCATTCTGCTTAGGTTTCTACCCAAGCACATTTTAAGGATGATGTTCTTGCTTTGTTCAAGGTGTACGTGAATTGGATTAGCTTCATAACTGATAGAACATGTGTTAGTATGGAAGCAGTGAAAGTAATAAATTGATACATAACTATCATAAAAAAAAAAAAAAAACATAGCTCATAACTCTTACATTACTATTCTTTGAGGTCTCTTGTTTTTACAATATCCATATCAACGTGAAATTTGGTTGTTAAGTTAGATGTTAGATAGATTTATCCTATATGGATATGATAAAAAAAGAGGAATTGGAATCACTTTTCAAATAATTTCTCTAAAGGTTCATAAAAGTTTTAAACAGAAGGTCATGTCTAAAAAAAAAACCCATATATTTTTACCATTATTCCTATGGAGATTAGCATACAATTCTTTATTTAAAAAATAAAGATTTCTTCTTTGATTGTAGATACCATGGTTCCATAAAGAACTACCTTTAAATGATATCCCATGTTTGTAAGTAGTAATTGTTGCTATTGAGAGAAAAAAATGGAAAAAGAAATGAAGTATCATGTAAATGTCTCAAACGGTATGGAACATATTTCTAAGCAAACAAAAAACTAATATCTTGAATATAAACATCTCGCTTGGCAACATCTTCAAATTTATTATTCAACCAAACTTGCATGATAGCCACAATCGACACAAAAAACTCTAATGAAATCTACTTACAATGATAAGTTAAAACAAAATGGAAGAAAAAAATCCTAATTATAAATATAAACAGATAAGGAACCTATTAAATATTTGTCATGACCGATTTTGTCATTGAGATTGTCATAAGGTATGAAGTTAAAATAATGCTAAGGATATGTAGTCATGTTTTCTTATATTTCTTCAACTTGAGTTGTTCTTGTTAGACAAATATTGAATAGTCCAAGAACGGTATTGTAGTTGTACTTACAATTCTTAACTTGAAATCAAGCTATTGAGTACAGATAGCCTTCCTTTAAAATCTCATTGTACCATGGTGCATTGAATCCTTTTATGTAAAAACACGTTGCATTTTTCTACAAAAATAACAATTGTATAAATAAAATGCTAAAATGGTTATCCATAGCAAGGAAATTACAAACTCTGATAGCATTCACAGTTTTTTTAAAAATTGACTAACTTGTGCATCAATTCCTGTGAACTCAAAGCTAAACAGATTATTCAATTCTACAAGATTCAGACCTTTCTAAAACCTCACAATTTTGAATTTAACACTTCTTACACAATTAAAAGGATCAAGTTCACTAAAAAACTAATAGCTCATTGTTAAAGACCTAAACAGAGATTAATAAAGCCAAAGCATGATATGTCATAGAGCATAATCAAATGAATAAAAAAATGAAAGATCAATGAAATAGTTTAAATAAATCAGATAACTTATGACAATTTTAGACAATAGGAAAAATAAACAACAATTGAAGCAAGAAGTTAATCAATCACTAGTGGAACCTAAATTTGGGAAAACTTCCTTGTAAACAATATTTTTGGTTTCATTATTTGGTCTTGTATCTTCATCATAAATTAGAATCTTAAGACCTTGCTTAGATGTTACTTTTGAAAAAGCTACATAAATCAGACCAAAAAAGGCCAATAATGTTAAGTGCTTGCCTTTGGCTCTTGTTAATGCTCATACCATAACATAATCTCATAAGAAATTGCTTTCCATTTAAAATAAAATGCCATTTCTAATGTTTAATAGTCAAAATAATTCTTGGAATGAAAACTTTATCACCAGCATAAGTTTAGATATAATTTTACCTTCAATAACATTCATAGCTAATTGAATGACCAAAAGTCTAATACCATTGCATAAGCTTGAGTTTTGATTTATATTCTTAAAAGCATGATAACAACACCTATTTTCAAATTCAATTCATGGTTAGGAATACCAAAAAATTTCAAAGAGTTCAAAAATTTAGTAGGATAAAACAAAACTTGGTTGGCCATTTGTGTTGATTTTTCTGAAAATGTTTAAGTTTTTATTTCTCTTAGAACCCAATCAAGGACATTAGAATTAATTAAATCCACGCTTTCATTATGAGAGTAACAATTGCTCTTTTTTTTCATATAGTGAGGGTATGAGTAAATGCACTAAAATCATAGTATACGACAAAGACTATGCTGCCTATGAGATCAATCAGTACAATGTACTAATAGATTTAGGGAATTTTTATCTAGCTTGTCTTTTTCTCATTTTCACGAGCCGTACATTCTATTTTTCCATCACCTATGTCCAATAACCATTGAGCAAATTATGCAATTTAAGCTTTGATTACCTCGTCTAGATTTGTTCTATAAAGTTTGATGTTTTTGCTAAATAGAATATCTTATAATTAGCCCATAAGATGGATTGATTTATAAAAGCTTCTAGAATATCTATCTTTGTTACTGTTTGAACAAATAGTAGTACTTGTTTAAAATATCCACCCAAAACAATGGTTTTACCTCCAAGTGATTTTTTCATAGGAACATAAATGTCCTCTGTGTGCATATACCTTAATGACTTGTGTAAAGCATCAAAGCAATTCTTATGAACTATAGGAGTTTCATCCTAAAGTATCAAACTTATGTTTTGAATCACTAAGCAAGCTGAGTTCTTTTTTTATTTGGCATGTGGAACACTCATAAACACTTAAAGGAATCTTGAACCTGAGAACGCATTGTCCTATCCCTAGAAGTAGTAAAAAAGCAATGCCAAATAACTCCATTGCTAACACAGTTTTCCCTGTCAATCTAATTCCTAATATAAAGGTATTCCACAAATATATTTTTCCTGTTCCTTCATGACCATAAACAAAAATATTTGCCCTTGTTTATCATCAATAAATGATTTGACAAACTCATAAATCTCTATCTACTTTTCATTCAAAGTTGACAATAGCTATAAATGCTAGATTTAAAGCTCAACCAAATTGTAGCTCAATTCTTCATGAATAAGTGTATCATTAATCCCATATAAGTTCTATTCACTTGACACAAGTAATTTGTACTTAGATAAAGAACTGCAATTCCTATTCAAAATTTGTTCAAAAACAATCAACACATTTTTTATAATTCGCTAGTTGGGACAAAATAATTAAAGGATCCAAAAGCAAGCTTCAGCTTATACTCAATATCTTCAGCTATAAGCCTCCAATTTTGTTCCCAAAAAGTAAAGGCATCTCCAACCAAACAAAATATCAAGATAGTTACAAAACGTTGCCTAACTTTTTCCACTAATGCCCATTTAGATGTTTGGAGCAAAGCATCATTCCATTCTCGATTATCACCTAACAAACCCAATGCATGTCATGCACCTTAAAATGTGGGATAAATAATCCCATCAACTGTATGAATATCTTCATAATTCTTTTCTCCCTTCACAATATTTAAAGCACTTCAAAAACTATAATTCACGAAAAGCAAGATGCCAATATATGATTCTACCTATCAATTTTCTCTGTTGTCTAAGCTGTCATTCTTTTATCTTACCATTCCAAACCCATTTTGTAGGAAATCTACATATAACAAAAGCCTAACTTCTTCATGAACTTGATTCACATACATCTATCAAGTCAACACCATTTTTTGAACATGAGGCATTCAAAAAATAGAGGACAAATCTTCTTATCATTGAAATACAAATTCTGCTCGTTTGGTAGATGAACATGTAACCTTTGCATAATGGGTTCTCTATGGTGTATACTAAAAGCAAAAAGTCTCCAACAGACTTTATAAGCTAACAAATACCTTTAGTCAAGGTTAGTTTTGACTTTATCAGCTTCAATAAGACTTCGCTAATCACCTTGGTTTTGGATGACTAAACATTCTCTAAAATAACACTTAATCGATAAAATCCTTTATTTATGTACGTAAATAAGTACTTAATTGCTTTAGTCTTGCTGGCAACCTCCACATTAACATGAGCATCATATTTCACAACCAAATCTATATCATGTGGGACAACAAATACATTATCCAACTCAACCCCATTCTAAGTGCAACATTTTCTTTAATAGTTACTTCCCTTCTTCTGTACAACGAGAATCCATCCTCAGTGATTGTGGTCTCAGATTGAATTATCTTCTAAAAAACTTAGAACATCATATTGTAAACAAGCATGGCACTTAAGGAAATACAGAACCGCATGGACTATGGATCATGAAATTCATAACAACTTTGTATCCCATAAGATTAGATCTTTTATCAAGTTTCCCAACAAATATAATCTTATTAATATCATTAGCAAAATTACACTTGTCATTAAGATGCAACCAAAAAAAGATATGAACATATGGTATCCTATATTTCTGAATTCAATAGTATAAGTGACTAAAAAAAACCAAAAATCAATTAATGATTCTATGCAAAGAGAATTAACACATAATGCAAATCATAATAATAAATATAAGTAAACTAACCTACTGTAACACAATTGAAATGATTTTTCTTTGTTAAGTCATCCATGAAATATCATAATTTAATCTTAAAAACCCTCAACACAATATCAGGACTTGTCATTAGCTCATTGACTTGGGATTAACGTCAATGCTTCTTGGATCTCTAGCCATCAAGCATTACATATAAATGTTATGAACAAATTGGGATAATCATAGAACCTATAAATAGCCATTGCATCTTGGTAGTTCTAAAATAAATATTAAGGGATAACTATAAAGCTTACTAGTAAAATAACTTGTTTACTAAAAGAATTACCTTAAAGCTCACTTTTAACAACTAAATCTCTAACATTCATATACATTTCAGATTAAATAGCTTTCTAATTATCCTTTATAAATTGGAGCTGTTTTTCCTCAACATTGGCATATGCATCCACAACAAATTGTTGAAATAACATATTACCCTTCAACAAAGTATTACCTAAGTCTATTTTATTTTAGACTATATACGCATAGTATTTGCGTATTGTCAATGTTTTCGTTTACCTTTTTCTTTCTTTGGTGAGTTAACATATTTGATATCAACATTATGGCCATTCTCACTTTAAGGAAATAAACGATGATAGTGCAAAGCCATAAAAAAAGATCAAACTTATTGATTCTCTTCAAACCATCAGTTCTATGACCAATAATTATAACTTGTCACCTATCATATTCATCTAGATCTCTTACTATTAGTGTGGCCAGTTGGAGGAATATAAATTCTATCTCTTTATTTCCTTGTTCCTATCAACTTTAACCTCATAGGAACATAATTTAAATCCTTGAACTTATCTCTAGTTGATCTAAATGCTTTAATAACCTCATTGTAGGATCCACCATTGGGCCTTCATTACCATATCTAAACAAAGACATCCGATTTGAAATCTGATACTCAATATCATATATTACATTTGAACAAATTTAAAACTCTGATCAAGAAACGAAATCAAAGACCCTCTCTTATGATGATTTTGCCCATAAATATTAAAAAAATAAGGGCTTGCTTTATTATTGATGTCATTATTAACTTTTCCCCTATCAAAATAAATTGAAACGTAAAATTTTAAACTTTTATATTATCCCTAAAATCCGTAGCTCTATGCCCATCATCATATTTGAACAAGTTATTTAAAAATTCTAGAGTTTTCCTAAAAGCAGATAACTAATCAATTCCTTGTTGATAACAAAGTGTAAATATAGGATTCTATGTTTGTTCAAGAAATCAACTCTCTCTTTGTACCATATTACAGCATCACTAAATGGACAGCTTCACTTAGGACCACCAAAATAAAAGAAACAAAACATGTTTTTAAAAAAACAATGAAGAAATAAACACCAAACAAAAAAATTATTAGCATGGCAAAAAACAAACCAAACATATTAAATTATAAATTATTAAAATATATTAAATATATTCAAACTTACTTGAATGCTTATTTGATTTTTTCCCCTTCTCACAATTCCTAGCTTCTTCTTGGCCTTTTAAGCCAATTGTCATATCATGCATCTCACCTTAACACATTAAAGCCAAAAAATCCAAAAATAAACATATATTAATCATTCATATAATAGAGCAACAATAATAGGGAAATGTTAGCCAACATAAGAAAAAGACACAAATGAAGCAAAGATTACCTATAGGCTCTATGACAACCATGTTTGAACCTTTACCACATCTGAAAGAACTTGTTAAACCATCCAATGGGAACCTGAATTTCCTTTTTCTCGACATATGAGTAATTGAATCTCTTAAATAAAATATTTAGATGATTTAACAATAATTGTCTTTAATTCCCCATTAACACCAACACTTGAATGCAATGATATATGAAATGGAAATTCATTTTCTCCATTAGAATCGACAAAGCTATCTCTTAATACAACACTGGCCAATCCCATCAAATTATTAACCAAAACTAAAGGTCTTCTTCTTCTAACCCGTGTATCATTAGATATCATAATACCTCTACCCTTAACCTAACAAACAGGTTTATCATCTCGAGATCCATCAATAACAAATTGAGGAAATGTACGTAAAGTAATATTGTCATGCCTTTCAACCCTATTTCATCTTAACCTTTCTAATATCCTAATTTTATTCTCCCATGCTTGATTAATAGGATTAATGGTTAAAAGCTACTACTTGATAGAAAAAATAACCAACAAATGTGTACATATAATAAAAAAAAAGTAGAAAATGGCACAACAACTTGCCAAAAAAAAAATTCAAGATATCAAGAAACAAAATAAGAAAATGAGAAACACCTAAAAACAATTGAGTCAAGATAACCAAAAACTAACTGAAAATAACACAACATAGGCAATTAAAGAAGAAAAAAAAAAAAACAACAATAATAGAACATAACCTTAACCGTGAACTCAATTTAAACTGGATTAGCCAACAACTTTCAACAAATCCTAGAAAAAAATATGATATTAAAGAAAAACCCTTTTCAAATAATATAAAAACCAATTCCATTCAAACAATGAATCTGACACATGTTTTTTTCAGTATTTGCTATAAACCAATCACCATTGTTGGGATTTGCTCCATAATGTTTATCCAAAAAATTATAAGTGCTTTTTGAGTTTATAGTTTAACTGAATGTAATCCAAAACTTTCAATATTAATCTAAAAAAACAAACATTAATGTAGAGAAACCCCAAATCAAAATGAAGCAACATCAAACCTGAAGAAAAGATTATTCAAAAAAGGAAACTGGCAATAGTAAAAGTAAAAAAACATTAACTTTGCACTCACCTTAGATCAAAACAGCAAAAAACCTTCAACAATTCTTGCGAAAAATACAAAATAGTTATCAAATTAAAGAAAAACTTTTATGAACAACATGCAAGAAATAAAAATCCATCTAAACTATTTTTTATCATAATAAATATTAAGCCAACCCAAAAAAATAGAATATGATAAAAAATCAAAATTTTTAAAACCAATCTCACACTAAAATGACCAAAAACCCACCACCCGAAAGATTTCTCACCAATCAAAAATAGAACACTATTATAAAGATATCCAAACCGAAATCAAGCAACATACAAACTCCATGAAAAGATAATAAAAAAAATTTAATGAATAACATACTACATTCAACCACAAATTGCTAAAAACTAGGTTAATAAAAATCAAATAAAAGCTCACATATTAAAAAAAATAAGTTAACAACTAGAAGATCAAACACAATAGAAAAGCTCAAGGGGTGAAAAATCGCTAGCCCAAAAATAAAGAAATATCGTAGAAAAAGAGAATAACGAAAAAAGCAGCAAAGAATATAAAAACCCAAAAATGAAAAGAAAGAAATAGATTAATCATAATCTAGGAACAACATAGAGCCCCACATAGACTTAACACCACTATTGTTACATTTCACGCCACATTTCTTCTTCTTTTTTTTTTTTTTTAAATCTCATTTAATGTTGATTCAAAGTACAAAAACCTATACAAGTTCCTATTACAAAAGCCAAAGCAAATGTCTAAAAACAAACGAAGAAAGGTTTAAAAACAAAATAAAATTGTTGGGCCTTGGGATCCTTTAGGATCCTTTAAGATTCTTTAAGATCTTTTATTGGCTTTAGGGAATATAAAATTTTTGTATTGGATTAGAAATTTGTAATATTATCTAATAAAGTCTTTTATTATAATATCTTTAATAATATATGAATAATATGTAACAAAAATGAAAATTTAGAAGTAACTTATTTATTTAACATTTTATAGAATCTTTTAATTATAAATTATTTATATATTTACTTAAATACTTTCAAAATATTTGTATACATATTTTATTAAGTTGCATGGATCCTACTTACTATCCTAATGTTGATTTCTCTGAATAAATTTTATATGTAATAATATTAAGTAAATGTATTTTAAATTTTATATTTAATAATATTAAGTAAAGATATTTTACATTTTTCTTTGATTCTGTTTTGAGTAGCATAAGAAGATCTTGAGTTTTATGTTTTCAAAATGGGAATCCAACAACATTGATGTTAAATGATAGGCATAAACACCAAGAAAAATATCATTTTTACAGACGACTTATTGGAGTAAGAAAACATAATAGATATTTAAAAAATGACCTTTTTTTTTTCCTTGCAATAAAACGTTTTCTTTCCTCAAAAAATTATTGTTTTGATTTGTTAGATGTAAATTAATTTTTTTAATCTAAAATTTTTTCATAATATATTTTCAACAAAAATTGTATTTTTTAATCTTAAAAATATTATCTTTATTGAAACTATAAAATTTTAAAATAATTTTGTTAATATATTTAATACAAAATTACGTTTTTTAGATTAAAAACATGATTTTTGTTATATTTTCAAAAAATACTGCATTTTTTTAGAAAAAAAATGATTTTTATTTAAACTATAAAAATAAAATACAAATATTTTCAAAATATATTTTCAATAAAGATTACGATTTTAATTTTAAACCACATTTTAATATAAAAACGTGATCTCTATTTAAAATATATCAAGAAAAATTTTATTTTCATAATATTTTCTAAAAATTACTATGTTTCTAAAATAAATAACGTTATATATATAATTCAAAAGTACAATTAAATGAGGATAAATGAAAAAAATTGCTTTCCCTTCAAAATTTAAAATACCTTCAAGGAGGGTAATATTTTTTATTCTCTTACTTCCTCCCTTTTTTGATAATGTTGACTCATGATGCGGGGGAATCAGGAAAAGTAGTCTTGTGTTTCATGGTAGTAATTTTTTAAGGCCAACCATTTCAAATGTACCTGTGATTTCACCTCAAAACGAAAGATTGAGGCCATTTTAGACGACTATATTGTAGTTTTGCTACTGGTGGGTTACAACGATATTTAATTCAGTGAAAAGGTCAATCATCATCATATGCTTCTTGGATTGCTGCTCATGAATTTTGCAAATTAAATCCTGGGCTTATTTAATTGAGATTTCAGACAGGCATTAAGAATCATTATTCTCAAACATCACAATATTATTCCAAGTGTAGAAAAAAAGGCATCACAACTGATTAACAACCACATGGAACAAGATTACCAGCTACTGTTTTGGAGAATGGACATTAAGAAAGAGCCACACCCAGTACAAAGAAGCAAATCTCACCAAAAGTTATACTACTTGTCATTATTAGGTTCAAAGCAAACGAGTCATAATGTACTATAGATGTTCCAATCAACCCTTGTAGGCCTCTTCGGTGGTCTGCAATAAAAATAAACATGTCGAAACTTGAAACTGCAAGAAAAAAAGTGAGACAAGAAACAAAGGAACAAAAAGAGTCATATGGCTTAATCCAAATTGGTGCAAGGTTGCATTCATCAAGTGATTAAGTTGATTACTTGAGGATATGAGTGGTACAGACCTAATCCTTTTCTATCAATTGTGACAATAAGGCTGTGCTTGGTACAGTAGAAAAGTGGAAGGATGTATGAGGGTCGATGGAAAAATAGAAAGAAAATGAATTTTGAGTGTATCAGATACAGCTGAAAATAGAAAGGAAAGAAAAGGCGAGATACAGAGTGTTTTCTTTCCATACCAACAAAATTCAATCCCCCCAAGGAGAGAGGAAACGAGTCTAACTTAAATGGGTCATGTGGAAGGACGAAGTTATTCCTAGTTACATGAAAAACAATCTCTAATTTTTTTAGTGTAGTGTGGAGAAACATTTTTCCATTTCTTTATGCAACTAAAAACCTTTTATGGAAACTAGGATGCATCAATTTTGGCATTATGGTACAACCATTTAAAAAAAATTACGAACTTCATCTAGAACCAAGGGCATTAAGCCTATAAAAGGAAAAGTTGTCACAACTTCTTTTTCAAGCAACATTTGACTTTTTCAAAAATTAGGTAGAAGTACATTCTTTTTTTCTGAAAAAAAAAAAAAAAGGCAAACTATACCAAAGAAAATTTCTCAAAACAGGACTATAAATTAACTAGTTCTTGATTTTGATATTAAGGCCAATTACATTGAAATAGATTATCAGTTCAACAAAAACAAGGAATGTTTTTTTAACAATTATAAGTAGCATAAATATTTTCAAATTTTCATCCAACCACTCATTTTTGTTATTTAATTCCTACATTTTAGCCATTAGGATTTGAAGCATCTAAGATAAGGGGATATCAAAATGTGAGTATTCTAATGTAATGTTTTGCATGTCCTATGTTGAACATAACAATAAAGTTAAGCCCAGTTGGATTTAATTCTTTGGTCTAAAATCAGCATCTCACATGTATATGAGTCATAAGCTATAACTCTAAAAATAATAGAAAAACTTCTGCTTCTACATATACCAATTTCTACACAATTTATCCTCTAGCCGCTAATCTTTAGAAACTGTTGATTCTATCTCACCAACTCTCTTCTTGATCTGTTTTTTTTTTTTTTCCTTTAAAATTTTGTGGAGTGGAAGGATGAAAATTGCCATCCAAAGAATTCCATAGCCAAGTTAAACAAACAAGAAAACTTAACATATCATACCTTCTCAGCACCCTGTTTCTCTTTCTCTGCCTTTTCCTTGTCAGCCTTCTTCTTCACCTTGTCCATCCTCTCCCTCTCCATTTTCTTGATGCAAAGAATCAAAATCAACAAATAGCACTCATAGAACACAAACTGGAAACTAAGGATAGGAATAAAGAAGCTAATCACACAAACAAAGTTAGTCTCTATAATGAAGGAAAGAAAGAAGTCTCAACAATAAAAAAGGAACTTATATAATACTTCTTTGGCTGTAGGGAAAAAGAGAAGGAATAAATACTCATAAATCATGTTGTTTAATAGTGTGTTTTGAATAAAATGCCAATGGAGTTCTTTCATTTCGATATAGAATGTTAGAAAAGAAATTATTTAGAAATATTGAAGTACTATGTTTAAAATCAATAGTTTGTATGATTCAAACGACCTGAACAAAATCTCATAAAATTTCCTAGGCTATGAAAACTGACAGATAATCAACTTTTTCTATCTAAATCAATAAGTGATCTCAGATCGCCTGAGGCAAAACTTTAAGAAATTGTTGATATGTAATGTTACATCATTTCAGCTAACAATGAAGAGAAGCGGAACTTATCAAACATCAAAGTAAGATATAGAAATAAATCAATGGAGGAAACAATAAAAAGAATCCCTATTTGGTTCAATCTACAAAAGACAAAACAATTAACATGTAAAAATAGCAACATATAGATTCAAATGACATGCACAAAATCTCATAAAAATTTTCAATTTTCTAAGAAACAAAGAGTTAATCTTAATACCTAAGCAATTTTAACCAATGGAAGAGAATCAACCTCCCTCTATGGTTTACACTATGTAGAAAGAATCAACCTCCCTAAGCAATAAGATAACGATCCGATTCAACTTTAATATTACTTGCTTCATCAATTTCTTTCATCTTACTACCGCTAGCTTTATCTTTCTCCAGAAACAAACAGACTCGGTCGTAAATTAAATCAAAATAAAACCTGGATGTAGACGTTCTCCTTACCGCGTTCCTCTTCACTCAGGATCCGGCCCTTACCATCGTTCAAGTACCGAATAGCACCACGAGTTGACTCATTGACCGATACCGCGTCGCAGTATTGAATCGACTCGGTGCTGGTCTCATTGCCATTTTCGGACTCTTTTTTTTTCTTTTTTTTTAAGTTTTGATTCCTTTTTGCTTATTATAAATAAAGATACAGAAACTTCGGCTTTCGGCTTTTATTTTAAGAAAGAAGCACACAGCAAACAGCATTATAGCACGCGGGAATGCTAAGGAGAGCCGACTCATCAACCGCGTCGAACACAGAAATTTTATGAAACCACGTCAGCCAACTTTTGCAACTTAAACGCCAACACTAGAATTTTTTAAATGGATTAACGTGTAATTTTGGTCTCTAACTATATTATTTTTAATTATTTCGATTTATAAAAATATTTTCTGTAAGTAAATTTTATTTTCATCAAATACTTTATATTATTAACTAACAGTATTAGTTAAAATGTTTATATAATAAATATTAATCAATAACAATATATTAGGTATCATGATATTTTTAATATTTAATTAAAATAAAATTTGATTTATATAATTACAATTTTTTTTTTATAAATACCAAGTCATAAAAAATTATATAATTCAAAGATTAAATCAAACATTAACTATTTTAAAATCATGTATGTCTATTTTTATCCCTTGCCACAAATATTATTTATAAAATTAATTACAAAAAAAAAAATAAACAATATAAATTTTAGAGTAAAAGATTGTCTGTTTTATTTTATCTATGTATCATAGGAATGCTTTAATATTTGAAAATTTTGGGCTTTAATTGATTTTACTCTATAGACACCTTAATCGGTCCAAGCCCAAATTTATTGGGCTTAGTTCAATAGGGTTTGAACCTAAGCCTATTGAGCCTGGTTTAACAAGATTCAGACCACCAAACCCAATTGTTCATTATTTATTTATTTATTTTAGGTTTTATCTTCTTGGATTATTTATTTGTTTTGTTTATCACTAATTTTTCATTTTTTATTTTATTAGGTGGTGATAATGAAAAAAAAATACAAAATAAGTAAATTTGGCAGTAACTAAGGTGGTAGAATTGTACATAGATTAAATCTATTTTGTGGTGATCTTATCCAAGGTGGACTCATAATCAAACAGGAATTCCTCTAATTTTTTTTATAAATTGACACACTGATCAACAAAGAGAAAATGGGAGAGAGAACAGAAAACACAAAGATCAGAGGGACAAAGATCACATAGCAACAAATTAGGTAGAAAGCACACCAAATAGGAAATCATGGTGATCACACACAGAGAAAATATACGATAGAAAGCATAAGGGTTAAAAAATCAAAAAATTTTAAAGATTTCTAGAAAATCTAGAAAATTCTCAAATTTCGATGAAATTTTCTAATTTTTGATGAATTTTTCGGTGAACTTTCTGACGCCAATTAAATTTTTTGGCATACTTTCTAGAATCTAGTGGAAGATCCCGGTGCCAGTTGAATTTTTTGGCAACCGTTCGGTGAACCAACCCGAATTCTAGTAGCACTTCTTGGAATCTGGTTGATATTCAACCAGAGTTCATCCGGTTAAAGAGAGAGGGAGAGAAAAAAAGGGGAAGAAAGAAAGAGGGAAGGAGAAGTTTGAGGAAAAAGAAAGAAGTCAACCTTTTATAGCATCACCAAAATGATGCTATTTTGGAGTTTAAAAAGACTCAAGATCCACACGTTTTCCCTTTCAAGCAACTCGACCCAAACGCAACTCGATCCGCCAACTCGGGTCCCAACCAGACCCTACTGTTGAGTCGAACCGAGTCGATTTTCCCCCAAGCCGTCGTTTGTGCCTGCAGTTGAGCCGATTTAGCCACTCTAGCAAAGTCATTTCTATTTTTTTGGTATTTTTTATTTATTATTTTATTTATGTATTTTTTTAGTATTTTTGCATGATTAAATTTTAAAAAAATAATAAAATAATAAATAAAATAATATAACATTTAAGAATAAATATTAATTATCCAATGATGAAATTTATAGAAATTTCAAATGGTAAATTTTTATAAATTTTCTATATAAGAAATTTGTCTAAATTTGTCCTACATGACGGAATAATTTGGATGAAATTTCAATAACAATAATTAATATTTATTTTCAAAACAAAAAAAAATAAAAAATAAAAAAAGTTGGTGGAAAATATTTGATAATTATCCAATGATGAGATTCTTAGAAATTTCAAATGATAAATTCCTAAGAAATCTCTAGGTGAGAAATTTCTTTAAATTTATCCCAAATGGTGGAAGAATTTAAATGAAATTTCAATAAAAAATAATTGTCATATTATTTGTTTTCAAAAATAAAAAAAAAAGAAAAAAAAATTCTAAATAGGCCCAAATGATGGAAAATTTAGAAATTAAAAAAAAAAGAAAATATTTCTAAATTGACCTAAATGGTGAAAAATTTAGAAATTCAAAAAATTAAATAAATAAAAATAATTTCTAAATAGGCTCAAATGGTGGAGAATTTAGAAATTCAAAACAAGAAAATATTTCTAACTTGGCCAAAATGGTAGAATAATTAGATAAATTTTTGACAATAAGAATAATTAGATAAATTTTGACAATAAAAATAATTAAAAAAATCTTTCCGACGATGAAGCCTTTTCAAGATATCAAATGAGATTCTTGAATACTCTTGAGGTGAGGAAGTATTTTTAAGAATTCTACCATATTGATGAAAAAATCTTATAAATTATTTCCAATATTTAACATAAAAGTTTGAAACTATTAGAATCAAGACCTAAGGATAAATTTAAAATAATATGGTACCATCCTTCAGATGGGTATGTGAGGGTGCATAATCTTTCTCGCATGTAACCAAACTTTCAAACCCTATTCTAGTTAGTAGACCCGAACCTATTCTTTTAGGGACCCATAGTCAAGCCTAAGAGCTCCTTAAGAAGATAGATTCCATAGGTGACCAATCACACCTAGTTAAAAAAGATTGGTGGCTACTCCTTTTGTTAAGTTTAGCTATAGATTTTCATATCTATATGTTATGATAGTTTAGCGACTCCATTAGGACGCTATAGAGAGTGAAGCCATAAACTTTTGATTTTATCCTATCCTTTGATCTAATGGTTTTAAATTGTAATTATTTGTTTACTAATTTTTTTTGTTTCTTATTTGATTTTTGAGGCATGAAACCTATGTATTTCTTTACACACATTATCACATGCATTTGCATTACATGAGCTCTATACCTGGGTTCCGTTCTTCTTAGGGAGAGTAAAGTACCTACGCTCTCTAAGATGATAATCTTCATAATGGCTAGCGAAATACTCCTACTCAAATTGAATCCTTTCTGGTAGTAGCTTATGATGGGTGAGAATTGGTTTGCCTTACTAGTCTATGATGGACGATGATGTAAGGAACAATTTAGGAACCTTTAATGGTCAAAGTCACCTAACCCTACAAATAATAAACACCTAAGAGGACCAACTTTAGGATAGAGCCCTTCCTACCTAGTGATAGATGTAATCCGAAGTTAGGACATAAAAAAGAACAGTTTGTGATCTAACTATTTTGTCTGTTTGACTTTGTGCATTTGCATTACCATGTCATGCATCATTTTCATTGTCATATGTAACATTCTACATCTGTATCATTTTTATTCCATAAAAATGTATATTTCATTCATGCATCAACATATCATGCATAATGCATAGCATTTCTGATCATAATTATGGTGTTCAAGGTTCATGGATAGCTTCACCAAGCAAGAACCTCACTCACTCATATAATACAAGCACTTAAGCTAGACAGATGGAATAAGAAAATTTTAACCATCTTAAAAGATAGAGAAAGCCCAAGAGAAGCTTGAAGGGGAATTAAATAAATTCTAAAGGCTTTAAACAAGTTAAACAAGGGAAAAAGGTATAAAAGAAAATACTAACCAACAAGACCATCTATCACAAGAGGTGGATGACCTACTATACCCTTCTGATTTTGGGCCACATTAAGTCTAACCCGTATAAGATCCATCACCCCACTAGTTCACATACCTTGTAGGATACACATACCTTGGAATGCCATCAGCTTCAAATCCAGGATAATATTAGAGTTTTGTAAATCTTATCTTTACCGAGAAGGCAGTAAAACCAATACCAATTCTTAATTTGGATGATCCAGAAGAGAAAGAAAAGTTAAGGCTTAAGGAGAAAGAGACTTTAGAAGCTTCAAAAGCTAAACAGAAGATGAACTTGTTAGAAGAAAGACTGCGAACAGTGGAAGGAGTTAGTTTTTTTATGATTTTATGGATGCTACTAGGCTCTGTTTAGTCCCAGATGTGGTTATTCCTCTGAAGTTCAAGGTGTCAGAGTTCGAGAAGTATGATAGTACAAAGTGTCCAAAGACCCATATTACCATTTACTGTCAAAAATGATTGCCTATGCTAATAATGAGAAGCTATTCATGCATGTGTTCCAAGATAGCCTCATGGGCTCTGCTACTAGTGGTATTTTTAGTTAGACAGGACCAGCATTTATTCTTAGAGTGATATGGCGTATGACTTTATTAATCAATATCGACATATTATAGATTTAGCCCTTGATCGCTTATCTTTATAGAACATGGAAAAAAAAGGCAAATGAATTATTTAAGGAATATGCACAGAGGTAAAAAGATATAGCTTCTCAAGTGCAACCTCCTCTGACTGAGAAAGAGATCATAGTATTATTCGTCAGCACCCTGAAATCTTTCTATTATGAAAAGATGATAGGAAATGCATTACTAACATGGTGATCTCAAGTGAAATCATTGAGAATATCATTAAAAATGGTAAGTTGAAAAGAGGAGAAACCAAGAAAGCATAAGAGAAAAAAGAGATTAAAGCTCAAGTTACGAGCTTTGACAAGCAGTTTAAGGGATATCAACCATATCCATAAGGTTAGTATTCATACTATCTTACTGTGAACAATACCTACCCATACCATAATCATTTTACTCATCCACATACCAACATGTTTTTAACCCTCAATCTCTCATATACAGCCTTAACATTCAACCTCCTGTAAGACCTCAAATTAGTCCTATTAGCCCAACAAGTGATTCACGAGAGCAACGAATTACTCAAAAAAATCTTGTATTTGATCCAATCCCTATGACTTATATAGAGTTATATCGAGAGCTTTACAATAATCACTTGATTACCCTCAGCCATGTAGAGCTACTTAAGCCACCTTATCCTAAGTGATATGATTCTACAGCCCACTGTGACT